GAGATGGAAAAGTCAAGAGTGGCAGCACGAGAGGATTGGCCATGGGCAGGGAGGCAGCCTACAGGTGGGCATGGCTGTGTCCCACTGATAGCCTGCAAGAAAATGGGCACCTCAGTTCCTGCGACCATAAGAACTGAGTTCTGCCAACACCGAGAATGAGCTGAAAGTGCATTTTCGATGAGCACTCAGCCTGGCTAACACATTGACCACAGCCTTGGGAGACCCTGAACAGAGAACCCGGCCGCAGCATGCTGGGCTTTGGACCTACAGCACTGTGAGCTACTTAATGGGTGTTGTTTTAAGCCACTGCTTTCTTGGTCATTTGTTAAGCAGCAATGAAAAATGAATGTTTCGCTGTTGTCACAATTTTCCTGCATATTCCCATTGCTGGTGTATTATTTCCCTCCTTTTCAGACAGGTCAGTGAGTGAGTAGCATTTAGATAAGGTCCCTGTATTCTGTGGCTGGGAAAACTGGGGGTTGTGGAGCAGTCCTTTCTTCCTGTCCTTTTCCTTCACAACAGCTAGATACAGGATATGCGATCACAGAATATGAGGAGGGCTTTCTTTTTCCCCATTTGGTTTTCTAGCCTCCTTATTACAAGAAAAGCCAATTATAGCCACTAAATAGCATGTTTTGAATCTCCCTTATTGCCCTTTGCTCAATGTCCTCCTCTGTTTCCAAACAACACACTGCTCTTTATTCTATGTTCCCTGCTCTGGATTTAAAGCCAGCCATTTTCACCCCGAGCAAACACTTCACCCCATAAGGACACCCCGCCACTGTGTCGATGCAAGGTCTCTGCTCTGCACAGGTGTGTGTTCTGCTTTCCATCCCATTTACGGCCACTGAGAGTCCCAGTATTTTCCAGCCATTCTGTCCCCTGGGGCCTCACCACCAGCCTCCTGAACCCTCATGTTTTCTAGCAGCAATGATAGAGTGGTAGTATTTGATTTTCTTCTCAGTCACAAGTGAGTGGGGGACACCCATGGGCCTGGCAGCATGGTTATCGGATCAATGCATTTGCTTAGGTTGGAAACCCTAAGTCCTGAGGCCCAGGGGTTAAGCAAAGGCTCAGGGTCATCCCAGGGACTCAGCCCCTGAATTCTATAGCAAGCTCTGCATGGACATTCAATTCATGTTAGTGATGGTGACTGATCTGATGTTAAACTCCCCCAAACTGTGGATGCCAGGGTGAATGACTGCAAAATGCATGTATTAGGTTGACACCCAAGTTATCCAATCACCAGGGCCATTATGGTCACTGAAAAAAATGGAACTTTAGAAAATGGATGATTCAACAACTACTGTGGATCATGGCTCAGTCTTGGGCTCTCAGACTCACCCATTGCTCCCTTAGGGGATTGTAAGAATGGGCCAGATGAACTTTTTCATGGTAGTTAATCATCATTTCCCACAACCCATGAAGGTGGCTGTTTCCTTTCTCTGGCTCTTCTTCCACGCGATTGTCCTTCACTTGATGGCTTCTTCATCTTATTCATAAAAAGATCTATTTATAGCTATTTATATTGTTATACAATAATAAATGTATATTTGGTCTTGCCCTTGGTTCCTGGTACAGAAGTACTAAAACTCACAGTTTTGTAAGTAGTAAGGATGCTAGGAGCCTCTTCTGTTATGCATAATAAGCCCCTTTTAGCTGCATGTGGGTTTATGCTAATCGGTGACTCTTGCTGTTTCCCTAGACAGCTTCAGCATGGGGGCTGGTTACCAGAAGAACCAAACATGTGATTAGAGGGCTGAACCATTCAGCCCCACCCCTTGACCTCGAAGAAGGGTGGCTAGAGTTCATTGCCAATAAGTAATGATGTAATCAATCGTTCTTAAGTGATGGGTTCTCTTTGAATGTAAATGATGGGATTCAGAGTGTTTTCAGGTTGATGTTTTCAGCATCCGTGTGCTGGGAGGGTTGGGCACTCCAAACTCCAATGGATAGAAGTTTCTGTACTTGGAATGTTTCTGGACCTTGTCCTGTGGACCTACCTCTTCCTCAGGCTGTTCATTTGTATCCTTTATAATATCCTTTTATAATAAACCAGCAACAAGTAAAGTGTTTTTCTGAGTTCTGTGAGCTGTCATAGTGCACTATTGAACCTGAGAAGTGGGTTGTGGAAACCTTGATTGGTAGCCATGTTGGACAGAAGTGGGGGTACCTGGAGAGCCACCGCTTAAGATTGGCATCTGAAATGGAGGGGGGCAGCGTTGAGGGACTGGGGTCCACTTAACATGTGGAGTGTATGCGAACTATGAATACTTCATGTCAGAATTAAACTACATTGTAAGACACCCAGTTGGCATCTGCAGAGAATCAGAGAATTGCTTGGTATGGAAACCTGACACATTGGTGTCAGAAGTGTTGTGAGTAGAGGGGCGCCTGAGTGGCTTAGTCGGTTAAGTGTCCGACTTTCGCTTAGGTCATGATCTCGCAGTTCGTGGGTTCGGGCCCCGCGTCGGGCTCTGTGCTGACTGGCAGCTCAGAGCCTGGAGCCTGTTTCAGTCTGTGACACCCTCTCTCTCTGACCCTCCCCTGCTCACGCTGTCTCTCTCTCTCTCCTAAAAATAAATAAAAACATAAAAAAAAAAAACCTTAAAAAAAAAAAGAAGTGTCGTGAGTAGAAACAGATCATATTGCGCGCGCGCGCGCACACACACACACACACACACACACTGCATATCAGGAGTAGTGACAGCCACGTACTCTCCATCATGTAGTTAAATCTACATCATATGGTAAAGGTACTAACTAGAAGAATGTGATACTTGCTCAAGCGAGGAGGAATCATAACGTTTTGCTCAGTATCTGCCTGTCTGTTGATCGGGGCTCTGCTCTGTCAGGTGGCTCCACCTCAAGTTACAGTCCAGCTGGGTCTGGCTCTTGACTGCCAGTTGGGCTCAGGTTTGCTTCCTGAGGATTCATTCCAGGCCCAGACAGACAGGCAACAGCCATCTGATGGGATGCTCTTCTTAAGGCCATGAAGGAAGAACGAGAGACTCGGTGGGACAGCTGTTGTCCAAAGGCACCCTGTGTGTCTGCCCACATTTCATTGGCTAAAGCAAGTCACGTGACTGAACTCCGAATTGGAGGGTGGAGAAGTATCCTCCTGCCTTGGAAGAGGAAGGCAGGGAGTAAATAGTTTTGAACAGCAGTCTGATCTACCCCAGGAGGCACTGAATAGTGTGTGGTGGTATATATCCTGTTTCCTTCAGCACGTAAGCTCCCATGCGGTCAGTGATATCTCTGAGGTGTTGAGAGGCTCTAATGTTTGGACATTTAACATGGATGGACAAGCAAACAGAATCTGGAATACTGTTCAACTGTCTTAGCACTAGACCTTGCCTGGTATTAATGTCTTCTGCTCTTTATGCTGGCCTCTCCGCATTAATTCGGGTCACTCGCTGTCAAAAAGCGAGACAAGAGAGTGTTTCAGAGAAAAATGTTCTCTATGAAATATTTAAATGTGGTTAAAACTACTAACAAGATGGAGTTGAATGTTTTATGTGCTAACTGGCACTCAAGTCCTGGTTCCCTCCAGGTAGAAAGGAGAGAACAGAAGCCGTGAGCCTGTGCCTTCTTTTTACTAGTCAGTCACCCAGAGGAATTTGCAGGTGGATTCTGTCGCAAGGAGGAAAGTGAAATATTCCTGCTGAGATGTTGGATTCTCTTAGTTTTTCAATGAGAAGAATGGAAATCAGAGTTTCTAGTACCTGTAACTCTCTGAAAAGAATTAAGGGAAGGGGAGCATGGAGGGTAGGTGGGTGTATTAATGATACCTGAGAATTTACCATGGGCTAGAGATTGTAGGTCAGAGAGGTAAAGAAATTTATTTAAGGTCTCATGGTTACAAAGAGGTGAGTGAGAATTCAAATTTGAATAGCCTATCCTCTTAGGAATGACACCGTGCTTGTGTGTAATGGTGTTATTTTCCACACTTCAGTGACTGGAAACTTGTAGACAGTTAAAGTTTGTAGCAATGACCTTGTATTGACCTTTGGGCTCTTTCTAACTTCCACCAGTACTAATTAGCAACCTCTCATCTGACAGTTCTTTAAATTTCTTACTTACTCTTCTGCAGGCTAGTTCCTTCAACTTCTTTCCAGACGACACAGTATTCACTTTTAATCATCCTGGTTATCTTTTTCTTTCTTTCTTTTTTTTTTTCCAGATGAACCCTAGCTTTTCTTAGGCAGCAAGGGACTAAAAGACAGAAGAACCCTTGAGAGGGAGGCAAGCCTAAGTATCTTGATACTACCAAGATAAAGACAGGTGACTTTCTGGTTTGGATGCTGACCTGGAAGTGTAGACAGCCCCTTGTCCATTATGCAGCAAGGAAGTCCCCCAAGGGGCAGGATCTGCTTTGTGTCCATGAAACTCTAGCCCTGGTTTAGATGCTCAATACAGTTGAAGGCATAGAGTCTGATGTCACTTGTTTCTCTATGGTTATTATTAGCTGGACATTTATTACACCACTTAAAGAAGAGACACAGAAGGGGTGCCTGTGTGGCTCAGTTGCTTGAGGATGTGACTCTTGATTTCTGATCAAGTCATGATCTCGTGTTTTGTGAGTGTGAGCCCCACATTGGGGTCAACATTGACAGGGTGGAGCCTGCTTGGGATTCTCTCTCTCTCTCTCTCTCTCTCTCTTTCTCTCTGCCCCTCCCCTGCTTGTGTACTCTTCCTCTCAAAATAAATAAATAAACTTTTTTAAAAAGTTTAAAAAAGAAGAGAGAGGGGCGCCTGGGTGACTCAGTCCGTTAAGCGTCCGACTTTGGCTCAGGTCATGATCTCAAGGTTTGTGAGTTTGAGCCCCGCGTTGGGCTCTGTGCTGACAGCTTGGAGCCTGGAGCCTGCTTTGGATTCTGTATCTCCTTCTCTCTCTGACCCTCCCCCACTCATACTCTCTCTCTCTCTCTCTCTCTCACTTTCTCAAAAATAAATAAACATTAAATATAAAAAAAAGAAAAAAGAAGAGAGAAAAGAGAGGCCAAGCTGAAGAAGGACCAGAAGAGATGGAATTCCTCATACTTTATTCCCCTGCTCCCTGGTGAGTATGTGATAAGAGATCATAACCAGTTAGTCCCTGGATGTCTCAAGAATACAGAGTATGCTCTTTGCACTGCTAAACAGTCATGGTGTGACTAGGTGTGGATTTATGAGTCAATATGGAATATATAGAATACAAAGATCGTTGAAAAGAAGAAAAATAGTATGCTTAAGGACATGCAATAAGGAAATGGACTTCCTCCCTCACACACGCAAAATTATCTTTGTGGCTTGATATGTACCAGAAAATAATATTTTATCTTGTTTTGGGAAGGGCTTTTCCCACTTCCCTTGGAGTTTCAAACAAATCCACGTGTTTCCTTGGTGCTCTGTAAAGCACATCCACTTGAACATGTGACTGCTTTGGGCCTACACCTTTCTGTATTTACAATAGCATCCAGCCTTGAAGAAGTGATTTTGGCCCCACACACACCTGTCAATCCCTTGGAAAAAGGGATTTTGACAAAGCCCTATGTTATATGTTGAATTGTTTGCCCACCCCAAATTCATACATTGAAGTCCTAACCCCCAATACATCGGAAAGTGACCTTATTTGGAGACAGCGTCTTTAAAGGGATGAAGTTAAGGGGCACCTGGGTGGCTCAGTCCATTAAGCATCTGACTCTTGATTTTGGTTCAGGTCATGATCTTAGTCTTCGTGAAATCGAACCCCGCATTGGGCTGTGCACTCCCAGTGCATTTCCTGCTTGGGATTCTCTCTCTCCCTCTCTCTGCCTCTCCCCAACCAGTACCTCTCTCTCTCAAAAATAAATTAACATTAAAAAAATAGAGATGAAGTTAAAATGAGTTCATTAGATTGGGCCTTAATTTGATATGACTGGTGTTCTTATCAGAAGAAGAGACTAGGGCACGGACACACAAAGGGAAGAGAATGTAAACAAACATGGGGAGAGATGGCCATCCACAAACCAAGGAAAGGGGCCTGGAGCAGAGCCTTCCTTTAACCCTCAGGAAGATCCAGCCCTGCTGACATCTATTCAGACTTCCAGCTTTCAGAACTGTGACACAGTAATTTTCTGTTTCTTAAGCTGCCCATTTTATGGTATTTTGTTATAGTAACCCTAGCAAATAAATACACCCCACTCAGAAATACAGGTAAAGGAGGGCAAAGGAAGCATAGGAGAAAGAGATTAGCCGGGGAGAGTTTTATTGTCCTGCAGGTTGTATGGATGCAATAGCGGCTCAGCTTGGGAGGGGAGCAGGGATAACTGATGACGTGTCCTCGGTGAGTCACTGCACTGAGTGTTCAGTTTCTTTCAAAGACATAAAAATATCGATGATCAAATCAGACTTAAAGCAATTAACGTGAGTAATTTTCATTTCCTAATTTGCTTTCTCAGTTGGAATACTGCAATTCCACAAAAGCAGACGTAGAGATGCCAATGGAGAAGCTGTTCCTTCTTGGTAAGAATTTGCGTGTTTTGGGCTCTCCCCCTGCCCCAGGGGGTGTGCTACCCTCAAATCCTTCTGTCATGGGGCCTTCTGGCTGAAGGGAGCCCGAGGCCCTCTGAAAGCAGCCACTGTGAATTGCTTTGGGTGGGGATTTGCTCAGGCTGTTTTCCTTCTGCTTTCTATTAAGATGAACTGCCAGTATGTGTTATGTCCAGACAACCACCTTGTGGAAGCCTAGAAAAGCTGCAAAATAGAAACGAGGTAATCTCCTTGAAGTGGCTTGTCGGGGCTTTTAAGGTCAGCGGGGAGGAGCTGAACTCCATGGTGCCCTAAGGATCTGAGTGGGGTTTCAGGAGTGCCAGGGCGCCTGCCCTTGCCTGCCTCCTTGCACACTTGGAAATCACAAAAAGCCTTTCTGTCCACCGCGGCTTCTGAATTGGCTTTCATCATTGGCACCAAAGACGCGCCACTCTTAGGTAATAAAGGACATGAAGATCAATCCTCAGGGAGAAGACTCCAGTTCCAGAATGTCCCTTTGTCCGGAAACAGCTGTGTGGAATTCAAGACTATCCAAGGATGTAAAGATCACAGGATCTCTTTCTTTCATTGTCTACTTGTTCGTCTGGGCACCACACTGTTTCTGCCGTCAACCGCACTGCCCACCACAGTGAAGGCGTGAGGGCTTAGGTTAAAGATTTATTCTTTTCTGCTGAGGCTCGAGCCAGTTGTTAACCCTCTCCATGCCTTTCTTTCATTAAAAAACTTATATTAATATTTTTTGGGAATATATATACCAAAGAGCCTGGAGATCCTATGTGGACAATTCGAAAAAGCAATGAAGCAACCAACACCCATGCATCTATCTCTAAGTTCCAGAATAAATGCTCTTTTCTTCCAGGAGTTCTGTAGTCATATTAGTGGAATCTTATTTCTCTTTTGAATGCTCTCTTTTGACAGGGCTGCCTTATCCAGTCAGGCTCTGAGGCTCGGAGGATATTAGGGCATGAGAATAATTAACTTGGATTGTTGAGATATGTTCTCCCCCTGCCGCACCAAATGCTAGTGAACAGAGCCATAGCACTGCGACAAATTGTCGTTAGCAGCATGATGCGTGTAGCCCAATTTAAAAAAAATATCTCTGTTTCAAAGTCAGTAGGACCATAACTATGTGGATTAAGATTCATCCATCCATCTATCCATTCATCCATCCATCCATCCATCCATCCATCCATCCACCCAATATTTAATTTATTTGAAATTCTACCATCAAATTTTATTGTGTGCTTACTATGTACGAGGCACTCATAAGCAGTCCCAACAGGATTGGGATGATGGTGGGACATAGGGGCAGGAGCAGAGAGCTATCACACAGCCTGTTTTCCTTCTCCCAAGTCAAGGATCCTTGAACTTTTTCTCACAAGCGTGAGAAAGTATGACCTTGTTCTGGTGAGCTGATTCTAAGGGTCATATTACAAGGTCAGCTCTATCACTTCTTGGCTCGAACCAGTGAGGGAAGGTTTGCCTTCTTAGATCCTCAACTCTTCAACCTTCCCTCATTACTATATTCCTCAGTGTAGTATAACCTCGCAAAGGATCCTGTGCCCAGAAGTACCCTGGTGCCTTCTCTGAGGGGGGTACACACGCCATAATCCAGGAGGAGCTCTGTTTTCCCTGGGCCTGCTCAGGGAATTGTAGGAATGCATGTTGCTCTGCGAAGTGGCAATTTGAGCGAATGAGATGACCAGCTGCAGATCTGCTGCCCCTTGGAGGCTGACGGTGGGATTGGGTGTAGCTTATGGGACAAGAAGAGTGCAGGTTGGTTGGATATAATGAGCTCAGTTTTTCCTAGTGTGCTGGTTTTTCTCTCAGGGTAAAAAGGACGGGGTCACATGTAATGATATATGTGTTGTGTGTTAGGCACAGGGTTAGGGTTGACATTTTCATCTTCAGAAACCCCCCTGGGGTAGCTATTCTTCCCATTTTACAGAAGAAGAAACTGAGGCTCTGAGAAGTTGAGTGTCATGTTCAAGAAGTGATGAAGCTAATATTTGAACCCACTCTTCTAAATTCAGCCTCGTATTTAGGGTTTGACAATCCTTGACAGCACTGTTCTAGAATGTGCTGTGACAAGTCATCCCATTCAACACAATGTGTGGCAGCCTCAGAGGTGCCTGCTGCCCCCTGGTGTACCCACAGTTCTCCACTGCTCAGGTCCGAAGCTGGGACAGATGACAGTCAAGTTTTTCATTTTCTTACCTCCCCTTTCACTCTCCTTTTCCTTATTAAAATGTTTCCTTTTTGTTGAAGTGTCCAGTGCCTCTGGCATCATGGGGAGTCTGTAAACTTGAGATAGAATCCCAGTTCTGCAACCAACTGTGAGATTTCAGGCAAGCCTCAGTTTCCTCATCTGTAAAATGTGTGCTGCGCATGTCAAGAGGCTGGCTATGGAGCCCGGTGTACATAGAAACTCATCACATGGGACTGACTCTTTCTTGCATTGCGTCATGATTTTCCCCCTCCCTTCCCATATGAGCACTTCCACCCAAGCCTTCATCCTCTGGACTGTCTCCTGATCTGGCTCATTCTTCCTAAGGCATTTTTGACATTTGTGACTGTGCCACAAAAGTGGAATGGGTAGCAGCTCCCTGTAGGAACCTCATTGCATTTTAGCAGGAATTTTCTAGAGATAATAACAGCCCAAAGAATGAACTTCTAATGATGTCATTTAAGGCAAAACGATGGTCCAGTGAAGAAGACATCTTTGGGCAGGTGGGCCTTTCTGATTCCTGAAATCTTGATGATGAGCCCTTTGATGCCGATCCAACGTGGGCTCTGTCCTGTCCGTAGCATTTGGCTCCACATGTGAGTATGTTGATGAAAACTAGGGAAGCATATTACCAAGGCGCCCATTTAATCTGCTTTTATCCTCTCTCTGTTATTGTATCTATTGCATAGTGTGTCTGTATTGCATTGTATATGGCAGTCACTGTATTACCAGAGGACTGCAAACGTTAATACAGTTCTCAGACCATCCAGCTGGGGGCTGCCTGATTGGGAGTTCCTTCTTTGGTAAAATGCCACATACTTTACAGGTGTTGATATCTTGGAGCTAACTGTTCCCTTTAATCCCATCGAATGGTTATTAGGGTCAAATTAGTGCCTGATCTTTTAGCAATTCCTGGGTTTGGGCCCATAATGACAACTCTCCAGAAGTACGCGTATTAGTGTAAGACCAATCAATCTTTAGACTCATAGACTTAAGATAAATTTCTTTTAAATAGTGGGCAAACAGTGGTGTGTGTGTGTGTGTGTGTGTGTGTGTGTGTGTGCATGTGTGTCTGATAATCCTTGAAAGAAGAATTGCTTTGGGAAATGAAACACACACACACACACACACACACACACACACACACAGGCATGCATACTTAAACACACGAAGCTCCTGAAAGGTTACAATCTGTGATTTTTCATGATAGAGAGTCTTGAAATTGACATGACTATAGTGATATCTAATATAAATTCTTCAATTTATAGTGCAGAAACTGAGGTTCAAAGAGGAGAAGTTATGAAAGGTCAGAGTAAGAACCCAGGTCTCAAGCCCTGTCCAGTGATGCATGAGCTCTTCTTCCTCCCTTCACCCCTGCCTCATTATTTCCCTCCTAAGCTCAAGTTCAATTCCCTAGAACTGTTCTCCTCCTAACCACACAAGTGGTTCCCTCACTGTCTTCAGGCCTCTGCTCAGCTGTTACCTTAATAGCCAAGCCTTCCCTGATCCCCCAGCACAAAGAACCACTCCCCCATGGACGGTGCTCTCTCCCACCACAGCACTTTCTCCCATCTTATTTGGGTATTGCCTGAGTGCTCCAACCGGACTGAAAGCCTCATGAGAGGAAGGACTGTGTGTTCACTGCAAAACCTGTAGCACCTGCAACAGTGGCTGCCAGACAGTAAGTGCTCAATAAATACCTGAGAAGGTCTGGCTGAGCATCCGCCAGTGGGGGGCATAGGGTGAACCAACAATAATGAGCAGAAAACGCCTGCCCCTGCCCTCATGGAACATTCAGCTGAGTGAAGGAGGGACTTGACATTAGTAATCATGCATTTGCAGTGAATTCCGCAAACCCATTCATTACGGAGGCCACAAGAGTGCCGCTCGAAGGGTCTCAGCTTGGTCTGGGGGGCTTGTCACAGTAGTGCAAAGAGACCACCCACACTCTCTGTGCCATTGATTCTGAAACTGGCTGAGAGAATGGGTCCATCCCAGTACTGTTCGAAAGATGTTTTGTCAGACAAACTCAACTGATTGCTGTGTGACTAGTTTAAGTCTCTGGATAGGCTGCCTGGTTAAGAGTTTAGCGACAGGATGTTTCAATGAAACATATCATTGTGTAGAGAGACATATCATTGTGACTTTCCTAAGCATGGGAATCCACACTCCATTCACTGAATGTTTTTTGAATGAATTTACTCTGAAGGGAAGGTCACACGCATATTGATGTTTCCCTGGGGAAATTCAGGGTTGGGAGAGAAGACTAGTTAGCTACCAGAGTGGCCACATGATGTCGCTGTTGCTTAAACATTTAGATGAATGAAAGCCCATCTTTTGTGAGAACCAGTTTGTGAAGTTTCAGGAACATGGAAAACGGCTCCAGTAAAAGACACACTTTTATACATTTAAAAGACATTTCTTTTCTTTTTTAAATGTTTATTCATTTTTGAGAGACAGAGAGAGACAGAGTGCAAGTGGGGAAGGGGAAGAGAGGGAGGGAGACATAGAATCTGAAGCAGGCTCCAGGCTCTGAGCTGTCAGCACAGAGCCTGATGTGGGAATTGAACTCACAAACTGTGAGATCGTGACCTGAGCCAAAGTCAGATGCCCAACTGACTGAGCCATCCAGACACCCCTCAAAGACATTTCTAAGCATGACAATGCCTCACCTACCCCCAAGACCCCTGTTTTACTTTTCTTTGTTGGTATTATTTTTGCTTCACTCAGCAATACCCAATCTATCTTGGTCACTCACACCTAGTGATTTGCTGAGAAGAATTCAGAGCACCCTTATGTCTAATACCTTATATGTCCTCAAAGAATTTTAAAGTACAAATGTTTCAATGAAACATTATAAAAACCAGAGGAAAATGCTAGAAATGAAGGAGTATGATTACCTCTCCTTTCTGTACCTAAAGTCATTTCTAAAAATGGCCACCTATAAACACAGATGACATATATCTACATTTCCCAAATCAACATGGTTTATTTCACATTTCCATTGCCTTGATATTTTTAAACTTTGTCCCTCATTTTTTTTCCATTTTGCTTTAGAGAATTTTTATCTCTATTCCAGTTACTGCAGAAGATAGAAAATCGATGAGTAGATCACCTTGGTATGTGAGGCTCTTACAATCTTGTAAGGTTATAGGGCCAACTCACAAAAATTGTAAACTGAAGTTTCATGCATGTCTTACATCAGACCCTGGGCCACGCTCCTTACCTGTATCTCATTTCAAATCTCATGAGACTCCCTGTTAGCCCCATTTGAAGGTGGGGAAGGTTTAGAGAAGTTCAATAGTTTGCCTAAGGCTAACCCGCTATGTATGCTGGTGCTGAGATTTGAATCCTGGTACATTTGACCACAGAGCCCGAGCTATGCTTTACAGACTTTCAGTAGTATTAGGCAAAATTAGTTAGTATTTAAAAAATAGAGAATTGGGAATTCCCATCTGGAAAAGTCCAATGGAAGATGCGGCATTTGAGATTGCCTTTGAAGGATAAATAAAATTTCCTCTGGCAGAGATGAAAAGGGACAGTCAACCAATCCAGGTTTCGTTCTTGCTCACGGTATATTTACAAGGTAACCTGGTGAGGGATCATGGTTCCACACACTGACACATGGACCCAGGCCGAAGGACCACTATCTATAGATAGGTGTGCACTTAGGAACATGAGCAGGAGAAAAGAGAATGTTTCATGAGGGTTTGATTACATTTGTCTGCATGTGACCCATATCACTTTGCTCGTATTTGATTGGCCAGAACTAGTCACATGGTCCTGGTTAACTGGAAGAGGGCTGGGAAATGTAGGGCACAGTTGGAATATCGCTGAATATTCTGTTTCCTCTGTTGTGCTGCCTCCCCGGAAGTAGGGCAGACATGCATTTTTATACAGATTTTATCAGTGGATAGACTTGGGCACAGAGGACTCACTCAGGTTTACGTGGTTACTTTGGCCATAGCTGCCCAGGGAGGGTGGAATAGGCTGTTATTGACATGATACATTGTTTTATTGACATGATACATTGTTTTATGAGCCTCCTACCCTTACCTCCCCCATGCCTTTCTTTCTTCCTGTGATAGGGTGGAAAGAGCTGGAAATTCTACCATTTCAAATGGCTTTAGAGAAATACACGATTAGTCCTGCATCACAAGCGTTCATGTCTCTTTATCGAATGATGGGATGGGGTGGAGTTTTCTAGGACAAATCATTAAACAAATAAGCAAATAAGATTTAAAAATGACACTCCTCATCTCAAGCCTGGTGTTTTCCAGCCTCTTCTGGTAGAAGATCAATGTATCGGAGGGCATATATCCCTCCTCTGCCAGGTGTGCCTCTGTACCAGCCTGTTGACAATGCCGTGGAAAGCAATCTAAAGACTGACCCATTGTTGTCTGCGGTGAATGGAGCATTTGCTTGTTTCAAGTGACATAGGTAACTCACTTCCAAACAGCAAGGCACTTACCCATGTGAAAAAAAAAAAAAATGAAAGGAACAGCCAGATTTGGTTACTGTCGGAGCCACATGATTCACAGATATCCTTGATAATGACAGTTGCACAGCTGGATAATTAATCAAAGTATGAAGAGAATATAGAGCACTCCCATGCACACAGCCCCATCCAGTCTCTACGGGATCCGGCCATCATCTGTTTATTCTCCTTTGGAATGGCTTGAGATTATTCAATTATTCAATAGCTTCCCTTCTTGCTGTGATGGGATGTATGGGTTTTAATTGGCACCGGGGTCTTTCGGTTCCTATGAACTTTGCTAGTGACTCTTGTGATTTCAGTCCCCAGAAGCCTGAATGTTTATCTTTGTCTAGAGTTGGGCCCAAACACTGCACCTTGAAGTACCAATCAGCTTTTTAAAAAAGCAGTTCTGCCAACCAATTGGTAGCAAAATCATGACAACGATCTGATTTCAGTCTTGCGGTTTTTTTTTCCTACCTACCTTTTCTGTTCTTGACACAATATAGGATTAAAAAATATCTATATTGACATGAATTTCCTCTGCCTGTATGGTTAATTTTGTAAATGTTTTCCTTTCCTTAGGAGAGATTTTTAAGGTTTTAAGCTAACTGGTGTGTAAGTATTTGCCCATGATGGTGTTTCTTGGATGTGCTTTCTGGAAAAGCAATTCAATTATTTCTAATACGTAAATGCATTTTTCCCCCCAAACTTCGGAGACAGATTATTATAATTGTTTGTTCTGAGACATTTATTAAAAATAGATTACAACCTGTTTTAGGGCCTTTGAACATTAGAGTTGCAATGACATCTCATTAAGTGGGCTGCTTTTACTGTTCTTAGCACTCTAAATTTTTGCCCTCTTTAGTGGAATTTTTTCCTTGAGATGCAAATTTGTCCAATCTTCTGTATTAATTAACTCGAATTGTTCTTTCCCAGCTTGGTCCCTGCATAGTTCTGTCAGACAACATTTGTAACATTTTCCTGCAAATACTTAGCGTTCTTTCTTCCTCCTCCGCCTGATCATTTCGAAAGTAATAACTTATCACAAGTCCGACGACTGGCTCTACTTTTCAAGGCCCTATTTCACCTGACCTCAGCAGATGACCCTGCCTTTATTCTCGCTAGCTTCTCGACAAACACCTTTCCAGTTTATCTTTTTTTATCATCTTCTAAGTGCCTCGTCATCAAAGCGAGGTTCCCAGAACAGCAGCAGGCAGCGGGCGCCACCTGGGAGCTCATTAACATACAGACTCTCAGGAGAATCTGCATGTTAACGAGTTCCCAGGTGATTCCTGAGCACATTCATTTGAGAAGCCAATTCCAGTACCTTCTGGCCCCATTCCTGCCTCCATGCCCTTGCTTTTACTGTTCTCCCCTGCCTGAGATGCTATCCCTTCTTCCTTCCACTCAGGCAAATTTTATTCACCTTTTTGGTGCTGGTCAGTTGAACTTTCTTCTTTAAACCTTGTCATGTTACATTTGAAAATTGAGTCTTAGTTTGGAATTTGTTTCTGAGGACCGATCATGAGGGAAAATCCTAGAGAGTAAAAAGTATCCTTGAAAACATTTTGAGGTGTCCGTCACATTTTGTATAGATGCCTTTGTGCATCTTCTGCCATCAACAAATCTAGCTATGGTCAAAGTTTTCCTCCCTAGTCAGAACATTGTGCATTTTCTCTGGTTGAATGCCAGGTGGACTGGATCATTATAGGGAGTATGTCCCCCCCCCACTCCCCCCCTTCAAGTGCATATGGTTGAATTTGCATAAGTTAAATACACTTAAGAAGTAACTCCCCTGAAGTGAGGTCTGGCATGTCTGCCCACTTGTGCTTTTTTGTTGTTGTTGTTAATGTTTTTATTTATTTGTGTGAGAGGGAGACAGTGTAAGCAGGAGAGGGTCAGAGAGAGAGGGAGATACAGAATCTGAAACAGGCTCCAGGCTCTGAGCTGGCTGTCAGCACAGAGCCTGACACAGGGCTCGAACCCATGAACTATGAGATCTTGCCCTGAGCCGAAGTTGGACGCCTAACCGACTGAGCCACCCAGCCGTCCCTGCCCACTTGTGCTTTTATTGCCTTGTTGAGTTGACTCTGGTCAGAGCAAGCAGAAATCCTTGAGGCTATTTAGAAAAATATATTTTGGGTCCTTTTGCGATAATTGTGAATAGTTTCATTTGTGTTAAAGTAAGGATCCCGAATATTCAATGCATGAAAAAAATAACAGGAGAAAAACATTTTCTAATTTACCATGGGGCTTATTTGGAACGGGGAACGATCTGTATTTAATAGGAAAACCAAACAAGGAGAAAGAGGAGGAGGAGGAAACGTGGGAGGAGCAGGGAAAGAAAAAGCCTTTCACGTAAAGTTGAAACAGCAGGAAAAGACATTTTAGGCTGGTTAATATTGTCTGTTATGACTGAATTGTGTCCTCTCAAAAGTCATATGTTGAAGCCTTAACTTCCAATGTGACTGTATTGGACTGTATGAGACAGAGCCTTTAAGGATGTCATTTAGGTTAAATGAGGTGATAAGAACAGGGCCCTAATTTGTTAGACACTGAAGATTGATCCTTTCCTCTCCCTCTCTCCCTCTCCCTCTCTCCCTCTCTCCCTCTGCTTGTGCACAGAGAAAAGGCCATCCAAGGATACAGTGAGATGTCAACAGCCGGCTGCAAGCCAGGAAGAGAGATCTCATCATAAACCAACTCTTCCGGCACCTTGACCTGGACTTCAGCCTCCAAAACTGTGAGAAAATACATTTGTGTTGTTGAAGCCACCTATTCTGTAGTAATTTGTTATGGCGGCCTGAGCTGTCGAAGACATTGCCAAGTTCACAGTCCTGAAGACAGAATGGATTGCTGTTTCAACCCGAGGTCTCGTAGTTTGGCTGTTATAAAGGAATAACAGCAGTATTAGAATTCATTGTTCAGGTATCGATCTGTCTGTCTCAGCAATTGCGTCCTGCTTGATAACATTCAAGAGTGCAATTGCTTGTTAATTCTTGTATCTGTTTAGATTCAAACTCACTGCACTCTCCAAATGTTTCCCAACACATTTAGTGTTTTCTTTTGTTTCTTTTTTTAAGTTTATTCATTTATTGAGAGACAGAGACAGCATGAGTGGGGGAGGGGCAGAGAGAGAGGAAGAAAGAGAATCTCAAGCAGGCTCTGTGCTGCCAGTGCACAGCCTGATGTGGGGCTTGAACTCACAAAACTGTCAGATCATGACCTGAGCTGAAACCAAGAGTTTGATGCTCAACCAACTGAGCCACCCAGGTGCCCCACATTTAGTGTTTTTAAATAGATTCATCTACCTAAGTCCTGGAAGATGATACTGGACCGAAATCTGTAGTTTGCTATGGTAACGACGTTATTGTAGTGGAAGTATGGTGGGAATCTTCCAGAGTTGTAGTTTTACTTCGTTTTGCTAATAAAACATTCTTCCAGTCAATTACAGTAGAGAGAGTGGGAAGTCTCCTCCTATCAGGGAGCTTTCTCAATGAGGTGTTAAGTTCAAAGCTTCCAAGACAGTAGGAGGTACAATTCAAAGCACTAAAACTGAAATAGAAGAGAAGTGGAAACATGAACACTAATGTGCTCCTCCTTCTATAAGGAATCATGTCACACGTTCAGAATTACTGATAAGTGGATGTCCGAGGAACTTGTCATGGGCTTACATTTGGTGCACGTACCTCTCACTGGTATTTCACAATATTCTGCATCTAATATCTACAGCTCTCAAAGGGCTGCAAAAATATTTTATTAATGTTATTTTATGGTGGGGTTGGGATGCTGTGGGGGATTTATAGAGCTGGGGGTCTTGGATTCATTCTGTCTGAAATATGTTTTGTTTCTTTCTTGGTTTGAAATGTGTCCAAGTAGCCATATTGAGAGGGAAAATCACTTAAAGCATATAATGAATACATTTGTTAAGCATAACATTTCGCTACACCTAGATTCTTGCACTGAAAACTTTAAGACTCCAGAATTTAGTTTTTTCAAAAGTATAAGTCTTATTGAGGCCACATGATGGAGTGAGTGGGCTTTGCGAAAATCAGGAGGTTTGGGTTTTACTTCCATTTCTACTTCTAATTATCTATGTGTAATGATTGATTTTATGTATCTGCTTGGATGGGCTATGGCACCCAGATAAGTGGTCAAAGATTGTTCTGAATGCTTCAGTAAGGTTGTTCTTGGCCAAGATTAACATTTAAATCAGTGGATTTTGAGTAAGACTGCCCACCATAATGCAGGTGGGCCTTGTCCAATCAGTTGAAGGCCTAAAGAACACAAAAGACTAACCTCCCCAAAGCAAGAGAGAAATCTGCCAGCAGATGGCCTTTGGGCCTGAACTACAGCGTCAGCTCTCTTCTGGGGCTCCAGTCACCAGTTACCCTGCAGACATTGAACTTGCCAGCCTCCGTAGTCACGTGAGCCAGTGCCTTAAAAGCCATCTCTTTATACACATCCTGTTGGCTCCTGACTAATACACTACATAATCCTGGTTTCATCCTCTCTTCTCTGAGGCTCAAGTGTACAATCTGTAATGAGAGGAAGTAGCACTGCTTAACCTCTAAGATCTTCTAAGGAGAAAAATGGCATGATTAAAAAACCTGCTAATTTTGAAATGCAAAATTTTTATAAAGAGTAATGGAAGCACATTCCAGAGAGACATTAGATGAAGATATGAAAACACCTCTGTGTTTCTTGGCATTTTGCTTGAGATTTAGAGGTAGCGTGGCGAGTCTCTGTGGTGATGAAGGGCACAGACCTCAGCACGGCTCCCCAACACAAGATATTCTGCCTGGGGTCTGCTGCGAAGTCTGTCCAGTCCCAGTCCTCCCCGCTCTCCCCCCAACCCCCCCACCCCCGCCACTGCCTTGCAGGCATTCTCCTTCCTGGAGCACCGGCACCTTCTGGTATAGGCTCAGACCTCCCAATTCCTGAGCCGGGCATAGCCCAGGCAGGTAGAACATCAGTTGACTCAGGCCCCAGCTGGTGTCCAGGGATGAGAAGCTGGGCATGGCCAGCCATTCCATCACCGCTATTTGTCTGTTGTGTGATTGTTTCTTTGATTCTTAATCCTTTTTCCTCATAGCAGATCCATTGCACAATATAGCACCAAACAGAAAATAAGAGTCACCCTTTGTAGTACCTAGAGATAATCACTATTCACATTTTGATACATTTTATTCCTTCTCTCATCCAGGTAATGATAGAATTTAACCTTCCTTGTCTTCCCTCTTGAGGATCATATTGTTCCCATGTATTTAGAGGAGAAGGAAGAGTCCTTCATTTCCAGTCCTAGATCAGTTACGGTTGCAATGTATGGGTGTCTGGGTTGTGCACTGCAGAATCTGTGAAACAACTCATCTCTTTACTGGCAATCCTTTAAGTCTCCAGCGGCCCTGCCACAGGCTTTTGTGTTTAATGGATTTTCCTGGCTTGCAGTTAATGGAGGGGAGTTAGATTATATCCCTGCCTAGAACAGAGAATAAGTTACAACCGAAGATTAGACACCACTGTGTTTAAACATCCCTCAGGCGTCTTGAACAAGGGACTATTTCTCACAGGCGACTTCTTCTTAGTCCTCCACTTCTCATCATTTTCCTGGGACTTTCTTCCTGGCTGCAGTCCACTTCTCAGCCAGGACTGTCAAAGCTGTAGCTCCTTAGGAAAAAGTTCTAAAATTCTGATTACTTTGTTACAGGGAACATTTTAATTCTTCCCTTTATCTTGAGAGAGAGAGAGAGGGAGAGAGGAAGAGAATCTCAAGCAGGCTCTGCACTGTCAGCACAGAGGCTGATGTGGAATTTGAACTCACGAACCCTGAGATCATGACCTGAGTCAAAACCAAGAGTCAGATGCTTAACCCACTGAGCCATCCAGGGGCCCCTTTTAATTCTTCTCTTAATCTTATCTTTTTTCAACTATGTCCAGGGCACCTTACTTTTCACAGCCAAAGAAAGGCCCAGAAGAGTGTTACCTTGAAAGTTCAGGTCAATCCTGAAGAATTCTCTACCCTCGCCTATTTGTGTATATAAGGCACTCAGAATGAAAAAAAGAGGGAAATGCTCATTTTCTCAATCTGTGTTCCTTTTCTCTGATGTCTGCATTGTCCCGCGTGGCAGAAAGATGGTAAACTTAGCCTGAATCACCGTGTTTGGGATACGTACACCCCAAGCTTTGATCTGCCCACTAGGATTGCTGCGTGGTGACTGGGGAAGATCCATGGCCTTGTTTCTGTGCTCTTCTCGGGAGCTCTTTCCTCTTCTGCAAAGATGTCTGTTGTCTTTGGTGGCATGCCGTTACCATCAGCTGAGGGTTACGAGCCAGTGGGACTCGGAGGAACTGCTCTAGGCCTGGTCAGGGTTGGTGTCCTTCTGCTGGCTCAGCCCCACTGCAGCTCTGCCAGACCACAGGTCCTCTGAGTCTTGGCCACAGGTCATCCAGCAGCTGGCCTACTCGTCCCACCCCTCAGCCTCCACTGGGGGTCTCCTTGCAGCGACTCATGGCAGGGATGCTGGCCATGACTGGCATCCTCCCTCGTGTGCAGGCGGGAACACTTTGGGCATTCCTTCTGTTTCAACCCGAAGCGCAGGAAGACTCAAGACCCTATCTCCTGACCTTGGTCTACTTGCCACACTGCTGTCTCAGTACTTCTGTGGCCCCCTGGGTGGGCCCTGGGGAGCCCAGGGTCCCCAGATTTACAAATGCAAATATTAGACAGACACTTAAATTTGAATTTCAGATAAACCATGCGTAATTTTTTTTTTGTATTGTTAAGTATGTAGTATTTGGGACATACTTTTGTGAAAACGCATTTGTTAGTAGTTTATTTGAAAGTGAAATGTAACTGGGAATCCTGCATTTTATCTGGCAACTTTACCAGGGACCCAAGGGGACAGTGGGCACTGCCTTCCTCTGCCTTTGGCTTCTTTTTTCATTTCCTTTGCATGGAACGAGGGTCCGTGGGCAGGCTCTCCAGTCTGATGAATTTCTGCTCACTTTACCCCTCCCATTTGAGAGATAGAGCTTTAAAGCTAGCTTATGTATAAATTAGGATTCTATGGGAAATGGAGCTTTATAGCCATTTCTTTTTTGCTTGGCATAGCAATTTTCTCCCCGAACCCGATTTTCAGTGGCTCATGAATTTCACATATGGCTTGATTTTTGACTGGGTTTACGATGTGTTAATTCCGAAGTGTTTGTTGAACAGCTCTTACGTGCTAAAGTATTGCGTTGGTGCTGGGGATGCAGTGGTAGGCAAATCAGAAATGTCTCACCTATTCTTATAGAACTTATGTGCCAGTCAGGAAGACGGTAGCTATGTGAGCCACAGCACGGTAAGAGTGAGTGTAAGCGGTAGAGGTCGGGGCAGTGCCCGGCACCCTTGCCTCAATTGATTGGTCCAGGGAAAGACACATGATCCATGTTGGGCCAATAAGAATCCTTCTTTGGGGCAAAGAGAGAAGCCCAAGAGATCTCCTTGAGAGCCGTGGTTGCAAGATGTAAAATTCAAAAATGGGTGGTGGCCATGTTTACCCCTGAAAGAAGAAATAACTAGTGAGAAAGAATAAAGTCATAATGTAGATACAAGTAGTGATGAGGGACAACACTCTTGGAAGCATTTGGGTTCCCGGGTTCAAATGTTCCTGATCTCCACCTCCATCTCTTTCTTTTCAGTTTGGGTATTCAGCCCTTCCTGAAATCCTAGGAGCCTATAAGTTGTATTTTTGCT